TTTTTCCAAAGTGAAAAAACTCTGCACCATACAGATAAATGCAGTGTGCATTATGCAATACTCATCCCAAAAAGCCTCAGACATCAACAGCACAAAATATCATGCAGTTGAGCAAAAAGAGTCCCGGTGACTTTTGATTTAAATGTGGTTATCATACATAATACAGAACACTATTTTTCATAAGCTGAACAAAAGATGCTGAGATGCTGTAGTCTGCCTCATGCACCATCATGCTGAAGATGCCGCATATTAAATGAAACAATTCCTCTTTTCGGAAGATTATCGCGATGCTGTGCACCTGCAGTACATCCTCAGATATCATTTTAGCCCCAAACACAGAGAGCGAAAGGTATATAGTTACATGAAAGTGACAAAAAACAAGCCAGCAGGCTATTGCAATACGTACCGGATGACGCTAGTGATGGATGAAGCCAAGGCGAAAGGATGCTGACGAGCAAAGTGGCCAGAAATATCAAATGCATGATTCATATTTGATAACTGAAATATCTCAATATCAACACATCAACGCAGTGAATAGCTTGCGGCCCATCGTGGCAGTGGAGGTCGGTGGTGCCGTGCAGAGAGGCTTTCCTTCATGGATCCAGGAGGCACCGGGCTGCTGCTGCAGTAGCGGCTGAGGAGGAGGAGGAGGAGGAGGAGGAGGGTGGGGAAGAGGAAGAGGAGGAGGGGGGTGAGCAGAAAGAAGGCGGTGGCCAGGCTGCTACTGGAAGTCAACTGGCTGACTCCTCCTCGGTGAGCACAAACATGTCCTTTCTCTCTCCTGGGCCACAGAAAAAAGCCCGTGCAGGTGACCTCAAAGGCATGAGCATCATCAAGAAAAACACTACAGGAAGTGACCCGGTGACACACAGATGGACAAAATGAAAATTATGAAAATGAATTTAATTCATTCAGCACAGAACACTGTTTTTGTTATGATTCATTTATTTATTATGACTATATATATATATATATATATATATATATATATATATATATACCGATTTTTATGTCTTATTGTTTTAGGAAATATATGTGTTTTAGCTACATTTAGCTACTTCTTTTAAAAAGTATTTTAGCATTAACAGTACCACACTGTAAAAAATGTTGCACAAGCACACACAATACAGAGCTTTTAGCACTAAAATGGACTTAACGTATGTCAGAAGTAATTTAAAAAAGTGTAAAAGCTAATCGATAACAATGCATCACATTGGTAAAGCTGATTACATTGTTTATTTGTAAAAAATCTTGATATTCATAATAACTACAAACTAATAGCTGACAGATGAATGTATTGTAGTAAAAATAACAATATTCCCCTCTGAGATGTAGTGAAGCAGAAGATAAAATAGAATAAAATAGACTTCATACGTAAGTATCTGAGTAAATGTTATTATAGAAGAAAAGGATGCAGTAAGTGCTGAACTCATTGGAAAATCACAGGTGTCAATAATAACATTAACGAAGGCTCTGTTTTATTCAACAGTCCCAGTAAGTAATGCTGACTCATGACTGTGTGACGGTGAGCCAGCACGTACAACACCAGGACCCTGTCACTGGAGCAGCGAAATGTAACACAGCCATCACTAACTGTATTATCTACACCTACAGTGACATGTCAAAATGACACTGATGAAAAAGGGCCGATAGCACATCAGGCACATTTTGACCTGTTGGCCATTATCTTACAGGAAGTCTAGCCATCCACCTCAGATACAGGGAGAACTATTATACTTATACTTATATTGGCTAATGTATATAAAACACCAGAGTTTCTCCTATCATTGTAACAGCAAGGTCAGCTGCTAAACAATCATATATATATATATATAAATAGATATATAGACATATATAGACATATATATTGGATTTGGAAGACGAAGAAGACCAAATGTCAGACAACACTCGATAGTTTATCCACAGCAAACATTTCCACATAATCTTAAAATCTGCATTGCCATTAGAATCAAGTATGTGTACACATACAGGGGATGTGACTCAGTTTTTACTTACACGCAGTTCCAAGAAGGCAGAAATAGGCATACAGTTAAAAACAATGACAACAAAACTGAGTGTAGACAGGTAAAAAATAAGCACAGACCTATTATGTATACACAAGTAGATGTACAAGTAGTTAACTGATGGAAAGAATTTATTCTTGTGTCCGGTTGTTTTGGCGTACAGGGCTCTTGGGGGCCCACAAGAAGGGAGCAATTGGAACAGGTCGAGGGCGTGATTGGTGTGCTTTGACGTTTCCTGTCTGTTTCTGTAACTGTGATAAGATGTGGAGAAAACCAACTGGATATTTACAGTGAAGTGTTATTGTCAATGTTAGTGCTAATGAGATTATTTCAACTTTTCCTGTGCTTTTCCTGTTATTATAAGTCTGACTGACTGCTTGGAAATTGTCCACATAACCCAGCAGGAGATATATTCAGTGTGGACATTATTCCAAAAACACTGGAATCAGTAATGGTCCATAAAAACTTGATTCAAACTTTAGGTACCATGTATGTTTGAGTTATTTCTACAACATGGCTAGAAAGTGTTTTAGTGGCACAATTGAGCAAATAAATATAAAAGGAAATGAGAAAGAAAGAAAAGAAAGAGGAAGAAATGATACATGTATTCACGTTGTACGAGAGGAAACGCATGAATGCTGATGTTGAAATGACGATGATTGTGGTGAGATGTCTCAGTGGGGACATGGACTAACTATGAGCCATGGAGTATTATCAGTGCGTGGTACGACTTGTAGTTTTGATTGTAATGCTACACAGACACACAGCTATTAGAGGATGAGACGGTCTCTCCCTCAGGGCTGAATGGTCCACAGAGGGATGAGATGGTTGTTTTGGGTCACTGGAGATAAAGACAACTGAGAAAATAAACAAAAAGAGATGAGTAATCCATACGAACACAAAGTCTTTTTGTTAGTCCAACCTCAGATCAGTTTGGAAAAGATCTTTGTTGTTGTTAAATTTGACTAATTAATTTGACTAATCTAATAGCAACTAATCTCTCTTCTACAAAGGTTTTTCTTCTTTGTAAGTTGTTTTTTAGACAGTTCTGCTGTTTATTTGGATTACAGACTTTACTTCTGATGTCCAAAGTTTGGTACAGTATTTTTTTGTACAAATGGTGTCAGAGGGGCATGACATACCAGACAGAGCGAGTCTAATAAACTTATTATAAGTTGTATAGCATAGTGTTGGATCAGAAGCCAAAATTATATTTCAGCCTGTTTATGGCCATTCCTTTTTAAAATCTCTCTTGTAAGTCCCCCAACTTTATAGAAGTACATTATCATCTCTGGGGTCCCCTTTAACTGTACCTTAACCATGCTGTAGCTGCCATACATAGGCATTATAGTTATAAATGATTTAAAGGGGCAGTTCAATGATGTTACACACATTACAACATTAGATAAGCCTGTTATCTCTACTTGGGCTTGAGACTTCACATTTTTAACTCTGGGATGAAGTTTGAGAGATATCTCAGACACAATGATATCAATTTAAACCAAAAAAAGACCATCTTTCACAAGTCCTCCACCTTTATGCAAGCACTGTAGTAAATAACTGTAACCTTACCATAACCATGCTGTAGCTGCTATGCACTATATTATTATATATTGCATAAATAAATAATGTTTAAAATGCTGGCACAGAACACAATCTGCTGTTTGCAGAATCGTCAAACATAAATGTTATGTCTGAAAACAGGATTGAAATAACACTGTAACTTTAAGTTGTGTATCAAATCATTTGAGAGTACAATAAGCAGTGGTGGAAGAAGCACTCAAATCTTTTACTTGAGTAAATGTAGCAATACCACAGTGTACAAATACTCTGTTACAAGTCAAAGTCATGCATTCAAAATCTTCCTTAAACCTACTTAACTGGCTAAAGCATACAAAGTATCCATGGAAGGACTCAAGGCAACCCTCACACACTCCCGTATGTGAAGGCTCGAAAGAGTCAAGGTTCAAAGAGGCAGTATCCTTTTATCACTGTGTGAGCGTCACTCTAACACAATTACACATTCCTGAGTTTTGGGACAACAGATAGTGCGGTGTGACAATAGGTCTGATCATGTCCTTGGAAGTTCAGTGAAGGCTCAAAATCCTGCTGTTTACTTGGACATAGAGTGCATGTGATAGCCTCTTCTGTATGGTTTTACAATGACCAGGTCAAAGGGTCATGTGGGTTCTGGAAAAATTCCATTACACTGGTTATGAAACAGCCTCACTTTAATACTGGTGGCGCCTCTAATACAGAAAACAAACAAAACCATCAGCGAGAAGGCTGACTATTTCTATATAGTTATTGCTATTGACTACAATGCCTGTCGGATTCCCCTTGAAATCAATGAAACGAGGTGGTGGAAACACTACGGCTATTGTCCACAGGGGCCACCAAAATTAACACTACATTAAAGTTTTTTGTTGCTGCTTTAAGTAAAAGTACATTCTGTAAGTATTACCACCAAACTTAAAGCACCAAAAGTAAAAGTACTCATTATGCAAAATGTATATATATATAAGTTATTTCAGAATAATGTACATTATATAACTGGATAATAATTATTGATGCATTAATGTGTGTGCATCAATAGCACTGCAGCTGGTAAATGGGCTAATTTCAACATATATTGGAGTAAAAACGTATTAAATAAAAAGTAATTAGTTGTATAAAGTATAAAGTACCATAAAATGTATCACCTCGGTAACTCAAAATTGTACTTAAGTACAGTCCCACCACTCACTTAAAGCCTGCCTCCACATTCACATACCTAAGGCCTGCCACAAGTTTATTCTCTGTACACCAATCAATCAGGACTTGTAAGAGGAACTCAAATGCAGAAGGGAAAATGATTGCTCCAAATAAATGTTTGGCCCTAACCACTGACTCAAGCAATTTGTCCATTTTAGGAGAGGAACAAAAAAAAAATATCTGCAGTATTAAAACCCTTTCCGAGTATTCCACTGAGGGGGGACAGCGTGAGTTGAGGGTTTACCCCGCTGTTATGAAAAGCAGCCGCAAGCAGCTCCTCTGAATGAAAAGCATTCTTCATTCCGTGCTGGTGACCAATAACTTTTCTTCATCCTGTGGTTCATGTTTGACGCGTCAGCCAGGGGCGCGCCCACCGCACATCTCCACTCCTCTGAACCATTGCTCTGAACGCACAGTTAACGGAGACTCACGGAAAGACAACACATGCCGAAAGCTGCAGAAAGAGTTGTTTTTTTTTCTTGCAGCCGAGTGGGAAGTCACGGAGCCAGGCCCAGCGAGGCGGAGGCTAGAAGGCTAAGTTAGCAGCCACTTTTCATCCGGGAGCTGTCGGTGTTTGCATCCAGGCACTTTTACACAAGGGAGGGCTGCACTTTTTGGGGGTAAGCGGTGCACCCTCTTCTTCACATCTTAACGGGGGGAGAACTTCAAAGTGTGCCAATAGATGTTTATGTGGTAGTTAGTATACTGTGACCTCTTGTTTCCTATTCGACTGGTAGATATTTGTGTTTCTGAACTGTTTGCTGAGGTTTTATAGCCTTATTTTTTTTGTGTTTAGTTAGTTCTGAATTTTGTCTATTTAGTTTATAGTTTTTTGTAGTGTTTTTTTTATTATTACTGTCCAGTCTAATAGTAGTCTGTCCAATAATGTTAAATGTTACTTTTTTCTCTTTTAAGTGAAATTAGCTGGATAGATATCTTTTATAAACAGGTTTATCTCTTGTTAACTCGTATATTTTCTACACTAGCTTTCACAGGACTAACTACTTAATTGTAGATTGCACTGATTCATGCAGTCATGCAGCTTTTTTTCTTTTTTGAGAATGAGTTTAAAATCGTATTAAATAATGTAGTAATTTAAGTTTAAACCTACTTTTTATTATATTGTTTGCTTGATCTTTTGTTTTTCAAAGTTGATCAAACAGCTATATATAAGTAGAGTTATATTATTGCAGTGGCAACAACAAACATTCACCTCAGACCACAAACATTCATGCTAAATTTGATTTAAAAATGTAACATTTTTGAGCTATGTGCTTCATTCTGGCCTTGATAATTATACAAATATTGCTGATGTGTGAAAAAGTATAACCTTTTACCCAGTTGCTTGGTTGGTAACAGTCTTGGGAGAGATTAACATTTATGAATTGTGCAACAATACTATATCTGCCAGTTCTGCCATTGTAACAAAATGCAAAACAAAGAATATGAATCATCCTATGAGGGCTCTTTCTGCCTCATCTGTTGAGCATCTCAGTGTTGTTGATCCAAAAAGATGTTGACACTATGTTCCAGGGTTAGTAAGGACACACCCAGTCCTAAATTCGACACAAGAATTGAATGATCGTAAGAGGCCAACTGGATCCTTTTGGAGAACAGCCCAGCATAATCACAACGAGTGTGAGGTGAGGAACTGTTTTATAGGCTGATTATAATGCAGATTTTTTTTTAGGATACTGTGTTTACAGATCATCTTAATCTTATCATGAACGTCCCACAGATAACTTCACCGCATCTTCGAAACACAATGGGTGACTCCAGCGAGGAATATGGAAACTACACCTATGAATACTACCTGGAGTACGGCGACCTGGAAGAACTTAAAGTAGAACACAGGCAGAGAGAAACCATGCACATTATCTCAGTCGTCATCTACATCATTTCCTTTGTGCTTGGTCTGATTGGAAATGGAACTGTCATTTGGGTGACAGCATTTAAAAGCAAAAAGACTGTCAACAGTATCTGGTTGCTCAATCTAGCCATGGCAGACTTTGTGTTTGTGCTTTATCTACCCTTCTCCATTGATTACATACTGCGGGACTTCCACTGGAACTTTGGTGTAGCTATGTGTAAGCTTAACTCGTTTGTGTCTGTGATGAACATGTACGCCAGTGTGCTCTTTCTCACAGTGCTCAGCATAGACAGATATGTTTCTCTGGTCCACCTAAACTGGTCTCAGAGGCATCGCACTGTAGATAGGGCCTGGGTCGTATGTGGTTGCATATGGGTGATAGCTGCCGCCCTGAGCTGCCCCGCACTTATCTTTCGCGACACCATGCGCCTACACGACAAGGTGGTGTGCTTCAACAACTTCCACACACAGGACAGAGACATCGCGGCCATGACACACATTATAATAGTAGCCATTCGCACCACTGTGGGATTCCTTCTGCCTTTTACTGCGATATGTGTGACGGGCATCCTTCTGACAATCAAAGTGAATCGATCCCGTGGCTTGGTTCGGTTGTCCAGCTTCTCCAAAACAGTCTCTGCGGTGATTCTGGCCTTCTTTTTATGCTGGGCACCTTTTCATACTTTTAGCCTGATGGAGTTATCCATACATTCCTCATTGTACCTACATGACATACTGAAAGCGGGTTTTCCTCTTGCCACAAGCTTGGGCTTCTTTAACAGCTGCATTAACCCCCTGCTGTATATGCTCCTAGGCAAAAAGGTGCGTCACATCCTGAAGAGTGCATGCTTTAACTTAACTAAAAGTTCACTGAGAGAGCTCAGCCAGTCGATCTCTGCCACTGACATAGAGTCTGTGCCAGGAGTTCACCAGGACAGTGTCCCAGAGGAGCCCGGGGAGTCATCAGCTCTATGATTACAACCGTTCTCTGACTGTAGTAGTAGTCCGTGAAAAGTATGAGGCTAAGACTGGCTATTACTTAAGCTTAAATGTGGGGGATTATCATAGCTGTTCTTTCCAGCTCTAGTGTTAAGATTTTCCTATTTTGTTTCATTTGGACAGAGTAATGTGTAATTACTCTCAATGGAAAAGCTGAGACGCACACTGTATAACGTGCATATGAAGTTATCTTTCACCGTCCTGTTTATTTTTTCATTTGCATGACTCAAGTGATTTATAGCGTGAATAGGCGAGTTAAAACATTAAAGTTGAAACTGCTGATCAGTGGATCAACAGATAATTAAAACTATTTTGATAATCAATGAATTGTTTAAATCATATCGCTCTCAAATTATCCCAAAAAGACATTGACAAGTTAATCAATAATCATCAGTTGTTTACATGAAATGCATTTTATGTATTTACCAAAATGTTTTTATTGTTGTACTCCTGGATAATGGCATCTTTGGTTCTTAAAAATGATACGTTGCATTTATACTCTAAAAGTATTATTACAGTATTATACTGGCCTTTTAGCCTATGTAAGATTTTTAAACTAGTTGAGAATTGTATAAATGTTTTATTCTAATATATTCCAAGTTAAAGGCATATATGATAATAAATGTCTTCTTCTAAACACCTACAGTGCAGTACGTTTGTTTGAATAACTTCTTTTTTACTGTTCGCCTTGATGAATAGTCTGTAACCGCATTAAAAAAAGCAGGCTTTGATGTTTTATGTACACAGAGACTACATTTCCAGGTGGATTTAAACAGGCCTAGTGAGTATACCCTGGCCAGACATAAACCCAGATGTGAATATAACTCCACTTCCTGAGAGCGTGCTTACAGATCCAGCCATTTCCTGTTATTTATCCGTGTTGAACTCTTTTACAGATAACATCATGGTTACGTCTCATCCTGTGACTGGAAGGTTGCTGGGTTGAATCCCCAGAATAATTGTAAACATGCAATCAGGAAACAAACATTTTACCCTCTTTAAACAGTCAGCCTGCCCTCATGGCACTTTATAGACAGCTCAAGTGGACCTCCATCTTTTTGAATGATGTGTAATGTAAAGTAAAGTGAGAGCCAATGAAACAAATTGAAATTGAAAGCCCTGCTACTCCATCCACTGAACCACATCTCCACAGCCTGCCACAGATTGAACGAACTCTACAAAAGACGGGTATCTGCTAAAGGGAGCAATTCACATTACTCTTAACATCTTAATGTTTTATTACCTGCATGATTAGATTAATCAGCATTTAACGGGGAAGTAGCCCTTCTATTGGGATTACGGTAGACACAGGATTACTTAATCCGTGACGCAGCACAATAACAAGACAGTGCGCAACCTGCGTCGCAGGCAGTCTCATGAGGACAGACACTGTTAAAGGTAGGTAACTGCTCACCGTAGTGGTTGGGGAAATATCATTAAGTATGTAGACAATTAATAGTCCGGACACAGCTGCTTCACGGACGCTAGAAAGGGCTCCTCATGATTGAATAAAGTGGTCAAATTTAACCGGCTGGAAGTCAGTTTATGTGTTACATTACATGAGCTTGTTTGTAGCAAGATAGGCTAGTTAAAATGTGTGGGTTTGAATTGAACAATACAGACGTTATAACCGTTAGAAATACGCCGTTACAGTGACAGTTGATGTGTGTCGTGGACGTTACGTTAGAATGTAACAATGCTAACTGTCAGCTAACGATTAACTGTAACGTTACATCAATCTTCGCTAACGTTAGCTTGGCACATCATTTGTCTAACATTAGTCCAACGTTACATACAGTTAACGTTAGTTTGTCACATTTCTAACGTAATGCAGGGTGTGTAAATGTGATATATGTCTTTATACCTGTACAGGCTGATTATTATTATTATTATTATTATTATTATTATTATTTATTTAAATACGCAGCATAAATTGGCTACTCTTAACTAACTTAACCTTAACGCGGCTACTTTCTGTTGTTGTTATGGTAACGTTAGTCAAATGGAGGCTTTACGGTTCTCCGGTTTTAATGTCTTTAAGGTTTGTCGACATTTTAAAAAAGTGTGTCAACCGGAGGAGCCAGACCTTACACGTGATGCTGCCTCTCTCCTCCAGCATGTTGCGCTTGCCCGTGGTGAGCCGGAGTCTCTTTCCAGCAGCTGTTACCAAAGGAGGTGCAACTAACAATGGTAAACAATATGCCACTTCATCAGCTGGTTAATTGATCATTCCTTACGTACAATGTGCGTCTTGTATTTCTGCACAACGACACCCATTTTGTTTGTCGTTTGTGTGCAAGGACCAGAACTCTTGTCACTTTGTTCCCCTGATGGATTATAGGCAGGATTACAGATTTGCCAGCTACCACATTTAGTGCCAGGCCGTTGCTGGCTCAATTTAGCCAGTAGTAGTCAGTGGCACTAATTTATTATTACTTTGTAATAGCAGGAGTGATAGAGTGATAATATAATGTGATATAAATGACGATTACTTATCTAAGTGCTTTCTTTACAGTCCTTGGATGAAAATAAAATGTGAAGAATGCATTAAAGTGTTTTTCTGTCTGTGCTTGAAGCTCGCACCGCAGCTACAGCAACAGCAGCCGCCAGTAACCTCCTGGAGGTGTTCGTGGATGGGAAACCTGTCATGGTGGAGCCAGGAACCACTGTGTTGCAGGTAACCTCATGCTAAATTCATGCATGCAGTTATATAAGAGTTGAGTCATACTATCAGATTTAACACGGTGACTCAAATCTGTCACAGGCATGTGAGAAGGTAGGAATGCAGATTCCTCGCTTCTGCTACCACGAGCGCCTGTCAGTGGCTGGAAACTGTCGCATGTGTCTTGTGGAGGTCGAGAAAGTTCCTAAGGTATGTGTTAGACTGTATATGTGTATGTGCGTTTCAGTATTTCTTTGCCTAGTATGACAGACACCTACTAAAAATAATTAGGAATTATTTTTCATTCATCTTGTAGCCAGTGGCTGCTTGTGCTATGCCAGTGATGAAGGGCTGGAATATTTTAACTGACTCTGAAAAAACAAGAAAGGCCAGGTAGGATCAAACTCAGAAGTTAGACATTGTAGGCTTTCTCTGATGATATTGCATATTACTGAAAGCCCACATCTCTCACAAAAACAAAAACAAAGTTAACATTCCCTTATATGAAAGTAACCTTAAGTAATTTGATTCAAATCTGTTTGTTTACTATTCTCACAGAGAGGGTGTGATGGAGTTCCTACTGGCTAATCACCCATTAGACTGTCCAATTTGTGATCAAGGAGGAGAATGTGATCTACAGGTAAAGAGTGCCACCACCTGTGAAGATGTGTTGTTCATAGTCTTCATAGACTTGAGTGTGTTGACATTGTTTACTTTAGAATTCAATATTTTAAGATTGATTAATAAGACTGAATACCATTGTGTTTGAAGGACCAGTCCATGCAGTTTGGCAGTGACAGGAGCCGCTTCACAGAGGGCAAAAGAGCTGTGGAGGACAAGAACATTGGCCCTCTCATCAAAACCATTATGACTCGCTGTATCCAGTGCACTCGCTGTGTGCGGTGAGTCCCACATCAATATCTACAGTATCAGTAAAGTATAGAGTATATCGGTTATTGATATATATATTTATTTTTTTGTTCAGCTTTGCCAGTGAGATTGCAGGTGTGGAGGATCTGGGTACCACTGGCAGAGGCAATGACCTGCAGATCGGGACCTACGTGGAGAAGATGTTCATGTCGGAGCTATCTGGGAATGTTATTGATATATGCCCAGTGGGAGCCCTGACTTCTAAACCATATGCATTCACTGCCCGCCCTTGGGAGACAAGGTTCCTGGATTGTGCTCTACATTTTTGCTTCACTTTTAAGGATGAAAGGTTAGTCTTTACACTGATGTTTTTCTCTTTGGTGTCCTGCAGGAAGACTGAATCCATCGATGTTCTGGATGCTGTGGGCAGTAACATTGTGGTGAGCACTCGTGGGGGTGAGGTGATGAGAATCCTGCCTCGTATTAATGAGGATATTAATGAGGAGTGGATCTCCGACAAAACCAGGTTCCTCTCTTATGACACAATGCTTACTTCACATACATATTGTAGATTTGTGGATGATGTCTGCATCATTGCTGAAGTCTTCCCTTTGCTTCCATCCTGACAGGTTTGCTTATGATGGACTCAAGAGGCAGAGGCTTACTCAGCCAATGGTGAAAAATGACTCTGGCCAGTTGGTTCCTACAACCTGGGAAGATGCGCTGACTCGAGTTGCTGGAACAGTATGTAATTTATGATGAAATTACCTTCTGTAACTGTAGGCTGTCCTAAGCCGTGCCTGTAGCATCTGTTTTATTTGACAGCTGCAAGGAGTCGAAGGAAATGATGTTGCTGCTGTTGTCGGAGGCTTGGTTGATGCAGAGGCCCTCATTTCCCTGAAAGACTTGCTGAATCGTTTCAATAGTGACAACCTGTGCACTGAGGAGGTGTTTCCGATGGCTGGAGCTGGGTAAGACCATAGAAAGAGTAAAAGGCGAGATGGGACAAAGCCTGTTGAACTACCGCTGATGTTTGTGTCTTTACCTTGGCTTCTTTAGATCTGACCTACGTTCAAACTATCTTCTAAACACTGGGATTGCTGGCATTGAAGAAGCTGATCTGCTGCTTCTGGTTGGCACAAACCCACGCTATGAGGCTCCTCTCTTCAATGCACGAATCAGAAAAAGGTAGGTTTTAAATACAGTTCAGTAAATCTCCTTAAATCTAAGTAAAACAAAAATGCACATTCGTTAATATGTTATTCTCATTCAGCTGGCTTCACAATGAGTTACAAGTGGCTCTTTTGGGAAAGGAAGTGGACCTAAGTTACACATATGACCATCTTGGGGAGTCTGCCAAGGTTCTTCAAGAAATTGCTTCAGGAACTCACCCGTTTTCCCAAGTAACCCGCAGAGCACTCTCAGTAATACAGTGAATGTTATTGGTCAACTTGAATGTCTCTTCCTGATATTTATGTCTTCTGTCTCACCTTGCAGGTCTTGGCTAAAGCCAAGCATCCTGTTGTTGTGGTTGGAAGCAGTTGCCTGCAGAGAGAGGATGGGGCCGCAATAATGGCTGCTGTATCAACCATCGCGCATAATGCTCGCGTCAGCAGTGGGGTGGAGGAAACCTGGAAGGTTCTCAATGTGCTTCACAGGTCATAGTCTTGGCAAATTAGAAGGGAAGCTTTAATTAAAAGGACAGTGTTCAGGAGGAATTTCTGCTGTAATATGTGTGCTGTTGTGCCTGTTTCTTTAGGGTTGCCAGTCAAGTTGCTGCACTTGATCTTGGGTACAAGCCAGGAGTGGAGGCTATCAGAAAGAACCCGCCCAAAGTTCTGTTCCTACTCGGAGCTGATGCAGGCTGCATTACTCGCCAAGACCTCCCTAAGGATAGTTTCATAATTTATCAAGGTCAGCTGTTTCACTGCACAGCAGCAGAAGCTCTTTCATTTACATAAATGTACAGTAGAGTGGCAAAGGCAGAACCTGAGTCAATGAGTAAATCAACATAAATGAATGCAGGCGCTTCCATACAGTACACAAGGGGTCATTGGATGGTTAGAAGAGCATTAAACCTTTTTGTGCTCAATTGTAATGCTATTTGCCATAACTGCTCAGGTCACCATGGCGATGTCGGTGCACCAATGGCTGATATCATACTTCCTGGAGCTGCATATACTGAGAAATGTAGCACCTATGTGAACACTGAAGGCCGTGCCCAGCAGACCAAAGTGGCTGTGACTGCTCCAGGCATGGCTAGGGAGGACTGGAGGATCATCAGGGCCATATCTGAGGTGAACTACAATAAGATAATCATGTTATATAAAATAATAAGAAATAAGACTAAATCCTGTGTATTTTTCCCGTGCCTTTTGAAGCTTGCTGGAGTGACTCTGCCATATGACACCCTTGATGAAGTGCGTGATAGGCTGGTAGAGGTTTCCCCAAATCTGGTGCGATATGACGACGTTGAGGAGGCCAACTACTTTAAGCAGGCTAATGAGCTGTCTAAGGTCAGCTGTTATCTTCCTCCAGCATGTGTTTAGTTGATTACAGGGAATGCACTGATAAAACTTTATTTTAGTTTGCTTCACACTGTTCTCCATGGTGATGGCGATATCTGGCTTATCCCTTTCAGGCAGTGAACCAGGCTGTCCTTACTGGACCTTTAGTCCCTCCACAACTTACTGTGAAGGACTTCTATATGACAGGTGGGTCACTCGTACAATGATACTCCTCTTCCTTAATTTCAATATAATCATGTTTATTACGTTTTTATATGGAGAATTTCATGGCAATTTCCCTAATATGAAACAAATAAGTAGTAGAATAATGATATGCATTAAAAAAAAAAAGCATTATTATTTATCAGTTATTAAAAGCAGATTTCTATTGCATCTGAAAGATTCATAAGCAAGTCAAAATAATGTGGTATGCTGGCTAACCACCAAATGCCTACATCATTCTTAAAATGAGCAGTGATGAAGGATTTTCTATAATTATTTTGTGATCAAATTATTGTCAAGTCATAGTAAAGAAAAAACTCCAATATAGTGAATAGCTGACATTAATAAATAACATCATATTCTGTAGCTGCTGGTAGCTACTTTCTCTCAGCACATTATATTTTCTTTGTCTCACTGCTTCTGATGTTGCTCCTGGAAGTCTGCTTTACATACTATTATAGAGATTTTTCTAGCATTAAATCTTTTAATCACAAATATGACCAAGTCTGATTTGTAGCACTACTTCTATCACTTTGAGGTGAACAAAATGCTCCTTAGTTTAAAGGTGGTAGTCTGGATATGATCACATTTTACAGACTGCAAAACAAAAACTACATAGCATACTGTCCCAAATATTTTTAACTATGGATGCAAGATAATTATTGAGGCAGATACATTGTCTGCCATTAATGGGAAATTTATAATATTAGGAATTATCCTGATAATTCAATTATAAGGTCCATAATAATAACAATTAACTTTGATTTTTTTTTATGCAAAACAATTTATAGGCTTTATGCTCTATTAAAGCCAGAGAATGTAATGTTAAGTTGTTTAATGAACTTTACTATAAAAAATAAATGAACATTTGAAGAGTCAGAACTGTTCTTTGTTTTTGTTGTATTATTAAGAGTGATGTCCGATTTAATTAGAACAGAGCTATAGAATATCAAATCATCCATCTTTGCTCACTACATCTCAGCCTTTCTTACCATTAGATGTGTAAAAACTACAAGATATGAACTTTCTTTTTAAAATACACAAATGTGAATTTTTTTTGGTTATCTCATCTCATTTATACATATTCATTGTTAACAATTTAATAATACTGTTGCAATGTGATCATTTCACTTATGTAAAACACATGGCTTTAAATGCATATCTTCATGCAACCGTAACATTTAATTTGTAAGTAACTTTATTTTAAATTCCTAGCATGATGAACATTTATTTATTTTCTAGTTATACCCATTATTATGTTGATTTTTGGTCTTTGCAGTGGTTTAGGGGCACAGACTTTAAATCTGCTCTCAATCTTTACCCACAGATCCGATAAGCAGAGCCTCCCAGACGATGGCTAAGTGTGTGAAAGCTGTCACAGAGGGAGCACAAGCTGTGGACGAGCCAGCCATATGCTAAAGCAAAGTGGATAGCCATCCAATCCTTGAAAAACAAAATAATTATACGCACAATTCCGCTATTTGCACATTCCTAGAAACTTATTTGCACTTGTATTTTACTATAGTGGATATTTTACTATAGTCGATGCTTCATCATGTGCGCACATTATGAAACTAACATACTTTAGTAACCTGCAGAAACGTGTATATGCTGCTTGTGAAGATGTAAGCTAGGTTAACCAAAATCTTCAGACATGTACCCCTGAAAGTTCAAGTTTTCACCTGTTAGGACATTCACATTTTTAGTAGGTGGGACCAAAGGTTTAAAATCCCTCTCCTTCCTAAGTAAATCCAGTTTCTTGTCTTCCTGATAAAATTACCAGCATTAAAAGTGTTAAGATTATATTTTCCTAAAGGTAAATGCAGTATATAGCATTACAAGTGTAGGTATTTGTGTGATATTTAATAAACCAGTTTTCTGTAGCAAGCCTAATTAATTTTTGCAAAGCTGACTATTTAAGTTTATGCTCTTATTTAAAAAAAAATAATAATAATAATGTTAATGCTCCAAATATGTGCTGGTACCATGCGTGGTACTGTTTCTGGTTTGATATCCAGTCAACTTTTCCAGCTCCTGTGTCTGCTTGGCACGTGGTCCATCATCAGTGAACAGCCGGCAACAGTGTGGCAGCAGGGCTGGTGGTAACTCATTCATATGGAAGACGACAGCCGTGGTCCAGGTGGATTTCACACTCTAACACTTTGCTGGACCTCTCAGTCAATATGATATAACTCTCAGCTGTTTTAAATGTGAAAAATGTAACGGCAAAGTCCGGCACACAAACTGCAATTTGTTCAATAAAAAGATTAACATGACACTTGAACACTGTAGGGGCTTTTAACAAAGTTGAATTTCCAATATGGTTGGAGAGGTTGTTGTTGTTGAGCGGATTGTTGTCATGTCCCCGCAGTGCCTGTAGTGGTGCTGTGAGGAGTCTGCTGTGGATCCAACAAAAATCCTCAGCAGCCTACCTACTGCTTGTAATTTGCTCTGGATAGCCTATATTTACATGCATCCTTATTTCAAGATATACCGAGCTCGATGAAGATCACTGTTACCATCCTATCTCGAATATCGATGCACAAATAGCCTAGCTGATTCTAATAGACATTTCGGCCGTCTATCTGGAGCGAATACCTTACACAGCCCATACCAATTCAAGGTAAGCGAAAGCGTATGCAGCCTCGGTCTCGATTTCTGAGTGTGCCGTTTTGCGTAGGCTTGAGTCGGCCAGGCGTTCAACTAAAGACCGGTGTGCTATCGAAGCTAAGAGGCCTCTGATTAATGACTCATTTATTTTATAACTTGTGATCTGACCAGGTGACTCCGTGTCTTAAATACCTGTGGGGAGTTATGCAGTGATGACAGTTTTGAGTCTAGTAGCCTGCTAATTTCACACTATGTAACGATAGTGGCTATAATTCATATCGATTATTAGGGAGGCCTTCGGACACAGGCCTTAAGCCTTGTATGTAACGTTAGACCCTTTGTTTGGAAGTATTTGGTCATAAATGTAGAAGTTTTATACACACAAAAATCCCACGACTGGGGCCGATGAATAAATAGTGACATGTTATGATTACGCTTGTATTTGTATAAATAAAACTAAACTGAAAGTAGACCTTTATAGTGTTACCATTTGCTGATGTTTCCGTTTCCTGGTTAGCTACCGCCTACTAATTTGTGTTTTTAGCTTTGATAGCTTGTTGGCTAACTAGCAGATTTGACTCTTCGTGTCCGGTCAATGCTGTTAGTGTGTATTTCTGCCTGAAGATTGATATGAGTGTGTCTTGTGAATTAAGACACGGGTGTGTGTTACACGCAGACACGTTTAATATCAAAATCAAGCTTCACATCAGATCCAGCTAATGTTGGCATGCTAAGCTAACGTTAGCTGCCCGGACTCTAGTGGTAGTCACCGTTTGTTACCTGTCCTGTTCTCCGTGTTTACCTAAAGTTGTAACGTGAAGCCAGGCTGATGTGAATGACACGTATCCAACCTGTCCTCATGTGTCCGACATGTAAACCTCAGTTGTCAGAACCGGAGCGCTTTCAGAAACAACCTGAAAACACAATTTAAAGTTAAACGTAGCAGCTAAGCTACTGCTGAAGTTAGACAGCTAGCGCTACAACTATCATTACAGTGTAATGTGATATACCTGTAGCATCCAATTTGTGTGCGTGTTTTATTGTGCAGCATTGCATTTAAAAATAAAAATAAAAAATAGCTTGGTTCGTGTTTCTTTGTTGAATCGAGAACGGCGACTTTTAATTGAAGTGTTGAGCTAGTCTTGTAATGATGCCTTCACACCACCGAGTGACTGTTTCACTAGGTTGTAACTTTGTCAAGCGGACCGCTGTCATGCAGTATACTGTTTTACCACATTGATCATATTATCTTTTAAGTGCTAGCCTGGAGGATAATTGAAGGGACTGGTGAATAAAATTACCTATTCTTTGTTTACCAGCCGTTTCTCAATTAGACATTTGGACACTGTAAATTAAAGGGTCGGCATTCAGACTCAAAATGTGTCTAGACAATAGTGTTCTCAAGTAACGACATAGATTATTTTATACAATATTTATTATTCACAGCATACACTCATATAGTAGTTTAGTAATAACATTACACAAAATAATCTTGCAAAAAATGATATATATTGCATACTTCTTGAATGTTTATTATCATGAAATACCTTTTATATAAATAAATACCTATAATGGCAAAGGGCTGGGTAAACAGTCACCTGTTGTAGAGGTGACTATTTCCCTGCCTCTTAAACCTGCATGTGCTTCAGTATGAATTGTGAGTGATGTAATTCTTGGTTTTTCCTGACTTTATCCCATCAGCTGATGTTGTCAAGGACAAGAGTCACGTGATGTATGAAGGCAAACACATACACTTCTCAGAGGTGGACAATAAGCCGTTGTGCTCATACAGCCCAAAGCTCTGCAAGCAGCGCAGACTAAATGGCTATGCTTTCTGTATCCGGCACGTCCTGGAGGATAAGACGGCCCCCTTCAAACAATGTGAATATGTGGCCAAGTACAACAGCCAGCGATGTACCAACCCCATCCCCAAGTCTGAGGACCGCAGGTGTGTATGTTTGTGTGCGTCACATCACCACTGTGTGGGGAAAATACATTTTGTTTCAGGTGTGCTGAGGATGTGTTTTTTTTTGTTTTCCAGATACTGTAACAGCCACCTGCAGGTTCTGGGCTTTATCCCCAAGAAGGAACGGAAAAAGAAACATGATGCTTTGGAGGATATGCGCTCCCGGGCTCACCTGGAGTCGGTGGCTCTCAACATAACTGTGCCCTCTCTAGCTCTGAAAGCTTCCAATGGTCTAGGTGAACTTCCGCCGTCTCCCCCCTGTACACGTCTGTTACCCCTCCCTGATGGAGAGCTACTGGACCCTTTTGCCTTTTATGAGGACGACACGGATGGGGAGGAGGTGGGCACTCCTCGGAAGGGCAGTGCTATCAAGAAGAAACTACAGAGTCGCCTTGTGCTCAACCAGAAACTCTGCCATGACACGGACCTCTTCCAGCCACCTCTTGAGCACTTTACTCCCTCGCCTGTCCCCCATGTCCACCCTTCCTCGCCGCTCAACACTCATCTCCCACGGCAGCAGTCAGGTCTTCTTCAGCCGCCCCAGCACTCGAGCGTGACATCTTCAATCTTCCCCGGACAGCAGCAGGGTTTATTATGCAATCCACCACCACCTCAGACGGTCAACTTTCTGCCTCCACGGATGCCCGCTAATGCAGCACCCAGTCCAGTGCAACCTTCTGGGCCATCACTCAGCAGGAAAATGCCTTTCACTGCTACTCACTTGCCTGTCAGTTGCAAGGACAGTGGCAGTAACAATCAGCGGCATGTGGTTGTAATGCGTCCCGCTGCCTTCTCACCTTCTGCCAGCTGCCTGGCCAGGTTGCAACATCTGGTGCAGCTCTGTGCCAAGAGACACCGGGAGCACGGAGACCTCTTTCCTCATTTAGGTGCTTAACTTAAAAGCATTTACAACCAGTTTGTAAACTCAGTGTGATTATCAGTGTGTGAGACACTTCAGATATTGTGTATCAGTTGAGCTGTTCTAACAAGTTCTCTTTCAGGATTGGACTGGTCAGAAGACAGTGCTGATGATGATGATGATGATGATGATGATGAAGAGGAGGCAGAGTCATGTATTCCATTCCAGAGCTCTTGGAGACCACAGAATGGGTCGGTATCCTGATACTTAACCCTGCAGTATTAACTTTGACCTGACGCTTCTAGCCATGACTGCTATTAATTTTTTTTAAAAATAGGTTGGAAGACGACAGTGGTTCCTCACGGAGAACGCGGCTACTTAGGCTTTGCTCGTACCTCCAGGAGAAATACAAGCACATGTGCAGGGAGGAGAGGGCGAGTATCCGCCAAAAGAGATACCGCTATGCCTTCCGCAAAGCCTTGCTGCACGCTGCCAGTAACAACCCTGACTGTGCCGGGCAGCTGATCCAGGAGTTACGTGGTGCCTCTCGAAGCTCCTCAAGGTATTCTCACAAATGTCATATTTGTCAATTTTGTTTATGTCTCTGGACTAACATAAATACAGTAAGATCAAACCCCATGTGCAGGTAGGTTAAACATTCATAACACCCTCCATCACCCACCTGTACATTAGAAATTCAGTGTTATACGACTTCCAAAATAGATGTGGTTTCATTCAGTGTTTTTTTTATATATGTGTATATATATATATATATATATATATATATATATATATATATAATATACACATATATAACCAGCAATGTGTGCCACTTATATGACTTACTTGTTGGTCCTCTTCATCTCCTAATTTGAAATGTTCAGAAGACAAGAAATGTGGAGTGTTGTTGCTGTTTGCTCACTCCTGGGTCTGTATGTCTCTACAGTGCGGCTCCAGCAAGGCAGCAGAACACAGATACGGGGACCTGCACTGGCAGCACAAAGGGCCAGGCCTGCAACAACAGGGCTCTGCCCTTCACTCAACACTGCTTTCAGCGTATCCTTTCCACCACGTCACTGATTGTACAGCTGCTGGCGACAAGTGCAGAAGAACGGCTGTGATTCTGTTCTGTAAAATATGGTTTTATCAAATTCACCATGTTTTTTAAAATCACACACTGTGATGTGCAATATCTCTTTGTGGTGTGTACTATGATCTCGTGCACTCTGTCCTGTATTGTTATTTCCTTTATTGTTCTCGGTAGACATCCTGTTGAATCGTTCCCAGCAGCTCTTTGCTAGTTGCACAGCCAAATTTGCAGATGGTCAGCAGTGCTCCATCCCCGTGTTTGATATCACGCACCAGACACCACTCTGTGAAGAGCATGCCAAAAAAATGGTGAGTTCAATATTTAAAAGAAAAACTTTTTTTGCAGAGAGTTACATGAGACTGTCATGTCTGTACGATAAATACTAATTCAGCTTAGCACAAAGACTGGAGACAGAGAAACAGGTAGCCTGGCCAAAATCCACCTAACAGCACTATTGAACAAGTTTTATAACATGTTAGTTAATGAGCTTTAGGTGCTAGGTGAGAAAGAGAAAAAGCACATTACCCAAAATGTGAACTTTTCCTTGATTTGATTTGTTTGATTTCATATGGGCTAATGTCATAATGACTCAATGCTCCTCCATACATTACACTTAGGATAACTTCCTGCGAGGGGATGGTAACCGACGAGTGCAGCACCAGCAGCAGCAACAGCGAAAGCCACGTAAAAAGACCAAACCACCGGCGCTCACCAAAAAACACAAGAAAAAGAGGAGAAGAGGACCGCGGAGGCCTCAGAAACCCATCCCTCCAGCGTTGCCACAGGGGAACCTGGGAATGCCTTCTACAAGCCTAGCAATGCCATCACAGGCCAGCATCAGGTCTGCTACACCTCCGTCTCTACACTGTCGAGTTAAAAATTTAGAATGCAGAGAGTCCAGTGTCAGGGAGAATACTCTCATGTCACACTTGTTCGAACAGCTCCTTCACTTTACAGTGTTATTTCTTCTCAAGTATTTTTATCTCATCTGTCTGGCTCTAGCCCTTCAACTCCAGACCTGAGTGCAGAGGAGCTTCCTGATGATATCACCAATGAAATGGCAGACATTCCAAATGACCTTGAGCTGAACCAGGAGGATTTCTCCGATGTGTTACCCAGACTACCTGATGACCTGCCAGACTTTGACTTGTTTGAAGGTTGTCAGCTCTTTCTTGTGCACCATTATGCCTGTCGTGTGTACACTAACAAAGTCCTCCTGGTCTGATTTTATAATGATAACTGTGTCTGTGTGTGTGTGTGTGTGTGTGTGTGTGTAGGTAAGAATGGGGACTTATTGCCGACCACGGAGGAGGCTGAGGAGCTGGTGCGTGCACTGCAGGCTATGGGGTCCTACCCAGACTCTTTGGTGTGCTTGACCTCCATGGGAGACCTGGCGCACTCTGAAGGAGTGGACCACCGCGCCTTGACTGTGTTCCCTGGTCCGGTCCAGCCGGGGGGCATGGGAGACCTGCTCAACAGCCGCATCCCTACAGAGAACTTCCCCAGCCTCGAGCTGGAGGACAATCTACTGCAGTCCACTGGGGGTCACTTTTCCCCATCGCCGCCATCTCAGCCCGCAAACCAGCCCCCAACGTCGTGCTCCAACCTGACCTCATCTTCTTCTACAGTAGCCCCCCCCACCACCTCCCTGCTCACTCAGACCTCCATAACAGAGCGAACGTTTTCCCGGACACACACATCCCATGTGCTGGCCAAGTCGGATGCACCCACAACATCTCCCCAAGGCAGCCACTACAGCAGTGAGCATGTGCCATCCCCATACAGTGACCACATATCTTCTCCCCATGCCAGCTCCTTCCAGACAGACACCCCTCTGCTGCTGGAAGTCCCCCTCAGCGGGGTACCAGGACCCCCACGCTCATCATGGAACAATCTCGCTCTCCCCCTCACTGACCCCACGCAGTTTGGCAATCTCATAGGATCCGAAAGTCATCTCATATCCACCTCCCTGTCCACTCCCCCGGCCACCACCCACTCTGTGACGCTGCAGCCCATGGCTGCGCTCTCAGCGATGCCCCAGAGTGGCTTGACGGGTTTATCGGCTCCCCCTGCCCCCTCATCCTCCCTCCCATCCTCTTCACATGATCTTTTGACCTCCACACAGCCCAAGCAACAGCTCCCTCAGTTCAGCGCGGCCTTTGGCCATCAATTGGCCTCCCACAGTGGCATCCCGAAAGACGTGCAGCCCAGCCACAGCTCCACAGCACCCCCCGCTGGCTTTTCCATAGTTAGTGCCACCGCTGTAAGTGCCAACAGCGCCACACCACCCTTCACGCAAAGTAAATGAGAGCAGGAGGCCTGCAGCGGCTGCACAATGGTTTCGTGGACTCACAGTCACTAACAATCCAGGCGACTGGCTTTCTGACTGACCACCCCTCTTCATCTGCTACATGTGTGCAATTTGGTAATAGTGCACTATTTGATAATGAATTTGCACAACCTCAGATTTTCCTCGATATTTTCTATTTTCGTTCTTTTATTCTGCAGCCAGACGGTCTCCGGGATTTTAAGTCAGTGTGAGTCCACTCATTTAATGCCTTGTGGTTTCGTCAGCAGGGGGTAACAGTCAGATTTTGTGGTGAAATAAATGGGTGAAGATTGGCGGAAGGACCTTAGCAGAGATTATGTGTCACAGTGCTCAGAATTCATTGACGTAGAAGCCTCAATCAGTGGTCGCGTTGTTTGCTTTGCCAGTTAAAAGTCCTGTCTTTAAATGATCAACTGTACCCTGCCTTGCTCAGATGGCCATTGCATTTTTATTTTTCCACCTGTTCCATACACTGCTTCACCCTCTGAAAAAGAAGATTACAGGTTGTGATATTTGTGACCCATTATGTTTCAAGCTATTTAACTGTTATCATGATATAGAATCTTACTGAGTCAGATTTCACAGTCATATGAATTTACCAAAATACTTTTAAACAGCTGTTTTTATATTGTGTATACTGTATATGTGCTCATTTATTGGTTTGCTCAGATATCAAAATCTCTGACCTCACCATTGGTTGTGGGACTCTGAGTGGCCTAGTAGACACTTGAAGGTAAATATAGTTTCTTAAAGCAATAAACACATTAACATAACTCTAGCATTGTAAGGTATTTTATTGGTCTCATTACATGTAGCTTCACTTGCTGAATCCAGGCTGGATCAGGAATATATTTTGGTCTCTATAACTGTTGTAAACTGTTTTTTATTTTACAACAGTTTCACTCAGAACCAGAGCCTATAGAGACCAGTGATCAGGTCAGCCTAACTTCTTCTCTCGGGTCACACCGAGTGGATTTTTTTAAGGCTAATGAGTTTCAGTGTTAATGTTAGGGGTGATGATGGTGAAATCCAGGGACTTTTAAGTGTCTACTTTCAAAGGTGCTCTCTGGTCCACATACACAATGGTCATTAATGACTTTCATGTCTCATAAAAGGCTAAATCAGTTTCAGGACTCCAAGGAAACCCACTTTAATAGGTCAAGGCCAGAAGAATGAGAGAAGGTGTAGGTAGTAATTTAAATGGTTTAAATTGGTGTGTTGAGCATGTCTGAGGTAAAGCAGAGTATGTTTTACTCTAAAAAAAACTCTATTATAAAGTGATTTTTAAGCTAAATGATGCAAACCTGGGGTCTGATTTGATTTTTTTATAAAAATGAGAACTGCCACCCGAGGGCTCGTCCCCTGTCTGTTAAGGACTCATACAGCAGTACAACCATGGCTTTTAATAAATATTATATTAGACATTTGACAGATTGTCAGACATTGTTGAGTATTTGGTATATAGAGTAGCAGTCTCTATCTTGGGGTTTGTTGGTGAATTATTGAGTAGCAATGGATTGAAATTGTTATTTGCAATGTATTCAGTGGAACCTGTGTCTTGTAGAATGAGTCTCTTTGCTTTTTAATGGCTATCAAAAATGGTTAAGTTCTCTTTGAATTTGGAGGGATCAATGTTTGTATGCCGTATATGCTGTCATTCTGTTTTTAAATAATATCCTGATTGAGAATATTTTTGATAGCTATTAAACTCCAGGAAGAAGTCTGAGATCGCACGGGGGCAGCAACCTTCTGTGTAAGAGCATTATAATATTATTAGATTATGGTCACTGGCTTGATTGTCGGCAGTATGAAACAGGAATATATGCATTGCCATTTCATTTTGTGGAGAAAAACAGATTGACGTACAGTATGTTGTTTTTCGACATGGATTTGCACAGGAGTGGATGAGGCCGGTGGAGTTTCATATGTCCGGTGTCTGTCTTGCCTTTTTTTTTTTTTTTTTTTCCGCTTGGACGCTCATTAAATAAACAGCTGCCATTATTACCAGCTCTGAGCCTACACCAGACCCCCCCCACACCCCCCACACCCACACACACACACACACCCCCACACCCACTTCCAGCTGTGAGAAGGCCCAGTTCTGTCTCTCCCTTCCAAAGAGAAAACACATTATAAAACACATTATAAAGTGTAAACCCGTAGCTCCACCGGAGACAACTGGGCTTCTCAGTGACTGCAGTGTTGTCACTAATAGTCCTAAACACAGTGCCCCCCAAAAAAGTAAAAGTTTAAAACAAACAAAAAAATCAGGTTGGATGAAAATGTTTGCAAGGCATTACTGCTGTACCCCCCCATAGCATGAGATTAGCCGCTGCACCAGTTTACTCTCCCGAAAAAACCACGCAGAACAAAACGAACAGGGCTCGTAGGCACATTTAACTGCTTGAATTCAGAAATGGCTGACAAATTCCTATACTCATTGAATGTACTGTATTACTGTTTTTAAAGATAGGATGAGCTAATCTAGTCACCTTTTGTTATTGGTCCTTGTTTAATTTGTCTAAGGTATTTTTTGTATACAAAGGTTTACATTTTTATGTATATTTTTCTTGTGTACAAATTATGTAATATGTGTACAAACACTGTATGTAATATCTGTATATAGTGTGAGAAATTTGATCTTTTGTTTTTGGATGTATAAATAAAACTTGCTGTGAGGTATTTGCTGACATAGTTTACACTTACTGGAGGAATAATTTCCACTATAACTGCACTGGAACTATTTAGAGGACATTATCACAGCACTGGAATATTTTACTTTTATACTATTTGGTTTGATTTCCCTCTTTAAAAACCTGATTTAATCTGGACATACTCTCACCACAAGGTCCATTTATGTTCTGAAGTTTTTAATCATATCACATGCTCCTCATCAGCAGGTGGAGTCAGAGTGTAGTCGTCACAGTATTGTAGAAGTCAGCTATTAAGCCAAGAATAAAACATCTACAACTCCATGACAACTGGGCAAATTCATCTGTAGATGAAGACCATGACATGATCAAAAGGCTCCAGTACAGCTACAAAATGGAACTTGTTTCACAATTGTCTTAGAACCTCAGAAAAACATAAATTTAAAAAAAAAGAGAAATATAAAACACAAATTCAGATTGATGGTTTTAAAGAAAAAATGCTATACATTCTGTGATTTAGGCAGCTTTTTCAGGAGTGGGCAAATGTCACAATTATGTCTTAAATTGTCGAGATTCACATTATTGCGTTCTTTGGTGCCATTTATTTAATCCAACTAAGAAAATATAACTCTTGGAATAGTTTTACTGCGCTCATCCAATAAACAGCGTGAAGTTACCTGAATTCTTAAAAGGGTGCCTTGACTAAATCTTACAACAACAAATTAATAATTTTCATTTAATAGACTATAATACAGTACCATAACATGAAAGAATGGTTATATTTTCTAGACACACTAGGCTGATGTACGTATGCACTTAAATTGTTCTGGTGCAGAAGACTTGAGACTCGGTCAAACAATGGCAAAACTGTTCATCAAATTTGTACTGGATTTTTATTTTTTCCTTAATCATTTGACAACTTTCAATAAATCCAACAGCACTGCTCTGAATTAGCAAATATGTATACTGGACTATACTGTCAGCAAAGTCACACAAAATGAAATTTGAAGTGATTGCTATCCAGTGTTTACTGAAACTTTAACACATCACAGAAGCAAACCTTTACTCCCTCTATTACATAATACTGCTCTTTTGGGTTATAAAAATAGTTTAATAGAATATATATGCCTACTTGTGCTAAGAAAGGACTCCTGGTGACCACACTGCTTTATTGCCATACAACACACAAAGGGGGGGAAAATAAAATAAAACTGGTTGTAATATTGTAGTCTTTTTAAAGTACCACTTTTTTAAAAACCAAAATAAATGCAAAGTGCAATACATAAAAAGAGAAAGAGCCACAGTAGACCATGTAAAAGGTGCAAATTGTGATGAATTTGTCTCCGTTTTGGATGGAGGGCTTACATGGCACATTTCACATAAGTTTAAATTTGAATAGTGAGCTGAGTCATGTTTCACAAAAGAGCAGAAAACACAAAGCAAAACAGTGAGAATGGAAATCATTGAGTCTGGTACCTTTTTCTTGATTTGGTCAACCAGTTTCTTCTTATTCATTTGAACATGTTAAATGTTTAAACCACAATTACCAAGTAGAAAAGAAAACATCGGAAGTATTTGGAGAGAAATTGGGGAGGGAATGTTCCATTTAAATTATAAATGAGCAAATTAAGAGAATAGTTTTCACATTTTTGGAAACATGTGTATTTGCTTTCTGGCAGAGAGTTAACCTAACCAACTAGCTAGCTGTTGCATTAGAGCAGTGGTTCTCATCCTTTTTGATGTCGGAGACCCCTAAATGGATAGAAATCAGGCTAGGAAGTTACTGGTCCCGTATTTGATAATCTGCAATTTTAGGGATCCCTGTCTGACAAGATTTAGTGACTCCATAATACTATCCAATACTGCAGTTTGGTAGATAACAGTAAGAGTGTGAAACCAGTGAACAGAATAATCCTTCTTATACATCCTCTTATTGGGCGGACTTCTAGTAAATCAAACAATAGTGAAATTAAAACCTTCCCCATTTTTCTGGGGACCCCCTAAAGCCCTCTCAAGGACCCCAGGTTGAGAACCACTGCGTTAGAGGATCAGTGCCGTTGTACAAATGGGGACCAGCTGCCAGGCAACCAGCGGAGACTCTAGGAAATTACTGGTCCCAGCCCCCCCCAAAAAAATACTCTGGCACATAAACTTGCTGTAAAATGCCGTTTTACATTTCGGGTTTTGTGTGTCTTTAAACAAACATATAACGTGTGAATTGGTGAGCTGATGGGGGGGGGGGATTACAACAAAAACATTTGATCTAACATTTTAAAGCTGATACTATTTCATCCCATTCATCACAAATACTCTAAGGCTGATTCAACTCTGTTCAGGACTCCACATTCCTCCAGTCCTGTAGCAGTGTGCTACAACACACACCGCTCAGGTCAACCAATAGGCGTTATACTGTTATACTATCATGCACATTCCTTTTAAACTACAGTCGGAAGTAGTAGCAGTGCCGCTGGTCTCCGAACACCTCCTGGCTTTACGTTAATATGTACATCTGAGAGCAGTGTCGTCTACTGTGTGAGAAGTCTACGTCTCTATGCATTTACTGTACAACTGAAAAACCTCTCACAAGTCCCAATGGAGATATACAGCCAGGCGAGTATTAACACTGCATGACCAACTCAAGAGTCCAAGCTGAGACTTCAGGGGGACTTTTTTTCTTGTCCCAGATAGCATACCTGTAAAATACTGTAAGTCTCGTGCTACTGTTTTATGGCTACTTTGTTTATAGTCAAAGGCATTAATACTTGAAGTGCAATTAAAGCTGTCGGTACGCTGAGGAGATAGATAGTACCACTGCAGCTCCTAGGAAGACTATCAGAGTCTGCTGATTTAGAAACTAGATGATGGCACTGCCCTGTTAATGGAATGAACGGACGCAACCTCAGTTTATCTAACCAGTCAAAAACACACGGGGAGAAAAAAAAGGGATGAGGCAAAGTCCAACAAACCAACAGGACTCGAGGCCTTGTGGAATTTGGGCTGGCAACAGAGCATCCAGTGTTTAAAACTGGTTGGGGCTTCAGTGATCCAGCCTTTTTTTTTTTTCCTTTTCTTTTTTCTTTTTTTTTACATTCTCTAACATTGTTACAGCCACAGCATAGAGTGTGAAACCAAAAAGTTAAAGAGAATTAAGAACTGTATAATAAATCAATAGTAAAACATGATAGAGGGCAGCCATTTTCATTCACTGGATGAGTACTCAAAAAGTTTTACAACTGGAGAAATCAAAGACCGATATACAAAAGAACAAGTAGAAAGGCAAGGCAATCTCATGTATGGCCATTTTAGTCTTTCAAAATATTTACCTCACAACCATTATCTACAGTTTGCATTTGGCCATTTGTACACAGTGGTTCCATTACAAACGCTCCATTATTTTTTCATGAATCTGTAGAAATGAGCTTATTTACAAGTCTGTACAACCACCCTATAGAGCTCTTTCCATCTCCCAGAGGACCCAATCCACTTAAAGCAGGATACCTGAGTTTTCAATATAACGCTTTCAACCCACTCGTCACTCTTCACCGCACATTTCACAGGGTATCTCGCACAGCCACACACACATGCACACAATTAATTAGGCAAGGTTTTTTGTTCCGAAAAGGATGCTGAGTGTAGACCTTTGTGAAAAAGCCACAAACTCACCAAAACCAGAAACTCAAGAGTCCTTGCAGAAAGATAGCTAACTCCACCCTTAAAACAAAAACAGTTGTGAAGGAGGTATTGAGAAGGGACATCTTACAGCAGGTGGCAGTCATGGTGGCAGTTAAGTGGCTGGCCACTGACTGTCCTGAATAGGGCCCACTGGTGGTGTGCTAGCATATAAACATTAAAAGTAGGCCAGGATTTGCTTCAGGCAAATGAGTGATGGAGACCTTCCTGGGAGACTTCATCCCGGCTGTGGAGGTCAGAGTAAAGGTCTGACTGCTGCCACCAGGGTGGAAAATTAGAGCGGAGCTGGATGTGGCTCCTCTCACTGAGTGGCAGCTGCATGTGGCACAGAAAACCTGACAAACAAAAGAAAAAAAAAAAAGTTAAAATCCTACGGACAGGCCTTCAGTCACTCTAGTCACTGTACCATTACACACCAACCAGCTGCTGAATGGATGAAAAATGGATAACCATTGTACAATTCCTGCTATTAGTGGGTCATTACATAGCTTGTCCTGAGTAAAGTCCATGTAACCTAAATCAGGACGGTTTATATTCTGCACAATGGCAATATAAGAACCTCTGGGACTCAGTTTGTTAGGCTCAGTTCTACATGGTCAGACTTATCAGTCTAAGTTGTGCTGTGGACAAGGGGAAAGCTTGACCTGCAGGCAGCATGGCTATATAAAAAGTAGTATAGGGATCAACAATGTTATTACAATTGATCCTCTGAGGACCACGCTTATCTGTACCACATTTTTAGCCAAGCTAGTGGCTCAGAGGATGCATGACACAAGGTTGACATTTGTGGTTGGAGTGAAATATCTCAAAATCTGCTGGATGCTTTTTGTAATTTGGTACAAACATTCATATCATGTTGGCTTCAGAGTACACTGTAATAACATTGGTGACTCATTAATTAATTAACCTTTGATCTTGAGATGCCATCAGATCAAAACTTTAATTGCTCCAATACTTGGGTTTATAACCAAGTTCCTGTGAAGTTTATGATTTCCCTATCTGCAATCCTATCTGCAAACAATGCAATCTGCTTAATGCTGTCAAGGTATTTCTTTCACTAGACCAATGCCTCTCTCTCCATACCTGGAAGCCCATTGGTTAACCCCATTGACAGTATGGTTTGATCCTAACTGTCTAATGTTCTGCCCAAAGAACCAGCTTCCAACAGGAAATACATTATAAGAATATATTGAGAAGTGACCCACATTACCTCTGAAGTCTCTGCACTAGTTCAGCTACCAAGGAGTCACAGATCCCTGGGTGCGTTTCTTCTGCCAGGAAAATGGCCTCCCGCAGCTCCTCTGCAGCCTCTGGCTTGCCATTACTTGTCTCACCCTTTTCTTTCAACTGCAACAATGACAGTTTTTAGATTATCCTAAATAGTTCAGTAGTAGAGAAATCTCTAAAATGAATATCAAAATTAATTCAGCAGATTTAATTCTGCTCTACAATAGTTTTATAATGTTTCATTTTTAATCATCTATTCAGTCATGATTGTTTTAATTTGGGGGTAACTTGATAATGCCCTTACCTCAGTAAACAATGGAGAAAAGATTGTTGATAAGCTTTGTGACAAAGGCCTCTTTGGACTCTCCTGCACCTAGAAAAAAAGGATGATTTCAAGGTGAAAAGGGAAATCTGAGAGACACACTTTGCCTCACCAACGTGAGGTGCTCAACTGCTCATTTATTACTTTTCCCCTCTATAATGGCACACGCTCTCACCTGTTTCCTTTCAAGCTCAGCGGGCTGTGCTGCCCCATTCTGAAACTTTTTTAGGTCCTTCTCCCTGATGGTGTTGAAGATCCAGTCATCATTGCTGGCATCATTTCCTCCAGATGCCTGGCCATCTGGCTCCCTACAGTGACACAGGATTTTAGGAAAATCATCAGTGTACCCACAGTTGCTAGATTTAGCTTCAGAGTGTAAATTCACCATGTCTTCTCCCCACCCCAGTGAAGTGCATGGTGACGGTGCAGATAACTTACTCATCAGATTCATCAGAGCTGGATTCATCCCGAGACTGCTCTGATTTCCACCTCTTGTATCTGTCAATCAGCTCTGTCAGATAGGATGTCTTTTTGGCATGCCTTACAATATACTTATGTTTTAACAGCTCTTTGGCAGTTGGCCTCTAAGGAAAACACACAAAACAAACTTAACAGTGAATATTAAAAGCGTAGCTGTCTTTCTTTCTGAACTGTGCATTATCAAAACAGTATGAACAAGAGTATTTTAAACTTACAAAGCTAGGCTCCTTATTTAAACAGGCTTCAACAAATTCTTTAAGTGGTTTACTGTAGTTTCCTTCCAGTGTTGGTGGATTGTTCTTTGGGATGAGGAATAAGACCTTCATCGGATGAAGCTCAGAGTGGGGAGGCTCTCCTTTAGCCAGTTCTATTGCAGTTATTCCTAATGACCAGATGTCTGCCTATAAAACAAAGATATTTGGGACAAAAAAAGATCCTGTCATCAAAGCAGCAGAAACTCACACACAAATACCGCACTGGCACAACGCTGTGTGAAATAACATGGCTGACGTAGGCAGCAAGGGTGTATTTGAGGAAGCTCTGCAAACTGAACACAGTGACATTGTGGTTGTGTTGAAAAGCCACAGTGACTCATGTCGTGGATGTCCCAAAAATATGCACTTGGTCATTTCTAGTCTAGACCCGTCTTGAAAAGTGCTTAAAAACTCCAGACAAAAAACAAACACACAGCGGTTGACAGAGCAATGAAAAGAAAGAGAAAAAGATACAGATCATTTGGGCACAATGTTCTTAACCAATATTTAATTTATACTGACGCTAACTGTCGACAAAGCTTTGGTTATGTTTCACTTGGGTTTGCCTGAGGTCAATGATTCCCCTTTCATACAGGATACACACATGGACATGTGTCAACTGACTCACATTCACCCTGCGCTTGACCTTTTCATATAAAACAGCTGTTATGTGGTTTACTTCATACATCCATATTTCACTGTTCAAGCAAACTTTATGTCAAATTGTGCTTTAGCCTGTATTAGTATATACACATTTCTCCTTCTCTACAGAGTAAATGAAGAATGAAGAGGAATTATATGAATAGTGAGCATGCGTATTATATATGCACTTACAGTATGTATTGTATCTTTATCATATCTAGATATTATTTTGTTGATGTTCTTTATTATTATGTTCTGTAACTGTAGTTACATGCACTTCAGTTATTTACACTTCATAATAACCAAATTCAGCAAAGTTTTCCTTCTCTCTGTAGGCTCACTCTCACTCACCTGCTCACTTTGTTTTTCTTTTACCACAGGAAGTCGGTAAAGTGATTTTTATACAACTGCAACATGACATTTTCCACCCTACGAGAGACACTGAGTCACCAAAGCAGGTTTGACACCCGTCACTGTGTTCACTCTGAATAGTATACTGTCTAACACCCATGACATTTTGAGGCCACTGCCAAAAATCGTTCTGGCCTTTCTTTGTCTCACCAAATAATACGCCTGTTACATTTGCCTTTATGCTCTCACTGTTTGCTGCTGTGCAATGGTACATGTGCAGTAAAGTGTGCTTACTGTTTTGGTACAAAATGGCTACCAGATGACCTTTATTTACATTTAAAAAAGTCTTTAGCAATTTATTGATATCACTTAAAGCATTTTCTCCCAAAAACTATAAAATTCTTTGGGACCTCGTGATATAACACAAAGCTGCTTTCCAACACTAAACCTTGCTGTGATAACAATAAAAGTTGGGATAATTCTGACCTTTGAATCATAAGCAGATTGCTTTATGACTTCAGGTGCCATCCAGAAAGGAGTACCAACAAATGTGTTCCTTTTTATCTGGGTATCTGTCAGCTGGCCCGCAACTCCGAAGTCTGCCAGCTTTACATCGCCTTGTTCGGACAGCAACACGTTGGCAGCTGGAAGCAAGAGGGACAAAAATATGAGATACATCAAATACAGCTCATACAGCATCTTTAAAACATCCAGTGCTTAAATGAATAATCCGCAAAAAAGGTACGGACAATACTATGTCTCAACCACTTTAGTAATATGATTGTTCCCAGTTTCTGGCAGTAACCTGGTTTCTGGAATTGAAGATCTCTGTTGGACCTGATAAAGCAATAATCAGGTTTCTAATAGCCTTTTAAGTGTTCTCATTTGCATGATAAAGACCCAGGACAGGGGAAGTGGCAAGAGCACTCTGATCAGTACACAGCACCCACACATTGTTTTTCTACAGGAACTAGGACACATTACAGAAAAAATAGGTGTATAAAGCCATTGTTTGCACTGCTCTTTCCACTGCAACATATGCATGCTTTAGTACTATGAATATCAACAAATAAAATAGGCTCCTCTGTCACCCATCACTATTTTGACACAAAGATTATTCCTAACATCGTAAAGGACAGAGACATTATAGATTACAGATCTGAACAAAATGTACACTCGAGTGTGAAATGTGACATATTAAAGGAATCACTGAAGCTGTTGACTTCCCTCAACAGCTGGTAAACACAGACACCAATTATGAAGGTCTGACTTTGGCATTATTAACAAGAAAACATGTTCTCAAGATTAATTCATTTACAAGCCTGTTGTTAAAACAGGGTCACAGCGTGTCTTACCTTTGATATCTCTGTGGATTTTCTTTTCAGAGTGCAGATACTCGAGCCCTTTCAGGATCTCTCTCAGAATTGTGGCAATCTGTGTTTCATCCAGGGCACCTGGCTCCAACTAGAAGAACGGATAAATTAGAACATACAGGTGACTTTGGGATTCATTGTGAAAGATGGCACAGACTTTACACTGTTTTACACAACAGAGAACTGTCATAAGGGCCTGCAATTTAAACTGTTCATTTACTTTACTTAGAAATACACTTACCAAATCCAAGGCTGATCCTCCACCCAAATATTCCATAATAATCCATAATTTTGTACCCTGAAAGAAAAATAAACAATTCAGTCAGATAGTGTTCAAAGTTGTGATAATTATTACAAAGAGAGTAACAGTCAATACTTATTTGTCCATTAAAAAAAATAATAATAATACACAGTACAGTACAGCTTAGCAATTCCAATTCACTTCAGTTGTTTTGGAGAGGGCTAAAGGCTGCTGAGATACTAACCCCATTGCTGACATGACATATAATCATTTCTCTCACGCTTCTTATTTAATGCTACATGGCCCAAAAATATTTTCTACTATGGTGACAAGTGGATATAATATATACATAGCAACACAGTGGAGCAACTGTATTGTAAATGGCTGAAATTGCACTGATTGAGGCAAGTGGCCTGGCTAACGTGTCTATGTCTAATCTGTTAGAGAAACAGACATTTGTTTCGTAATATGACAATAAGGAGTTTACAATTAATTATTAACTTAGACAATTATGTCTTTAATGACTCACTGACTGATTGGGAGAGATTGTATAGCAAGATATAAGCCTTGGCATATCCGCTCTTCTACAGACTGACTTCGGTTGGAGTAAATCCTGCACTTGTCTGAAACACTAGAAACATTTCAGCTGTCTGATCCAGTTGTTCTCAGAAAGCTTGGATGGCACCTGTTTCCTGCACAAGTGCAATATTTTCAAATTAATAAATGAAACATTATCTGTGACGGTAGCTCAGCCAGACAACCAGAATGTCACTACAACTTTAGATTTGTCATCTGAGTTTGTGCATTGTGATTTCCAGGAGCACAGACACCTTAAGATGTAATGTAATGCAAATGTACTCAGTATCTGCTGCTGCTGCTGCCCTAGACAGACAGACATCAATGTTACCCAGGCCCGCAAAACCAGCTCTGTTTGGATATATGGATGTTTATTTGCAACAGACATTTGAAATATACATAATGTGAAAATATGTGTATCATGATTAGATTTGACTGAGTTACGACTCAAAGAAGTCCAATTTTGGCACAAATTGTGGCAATGGTTTTAAAGTACCTTAACAGCCTCCATTAGGTGTGCTGCTGCTGCAACTGCTGCTGTGTTGGTAAGCTGGACAAACTACAGTAACTACCTTCCAGTTGTTTTAAGAACACCAGCATGTACCTGTCCCTATCTTGTTACCTCTTGTCCCCAACAACTCCCTTCGAGTTCCCAGTTCTTTTTACAGGAACTACATTTAACTAAATCGACAGAAAACAAATAATAAAAAGGGAACTTCACACTCCTACTTTAAAGTTTTGTAACACATGTAAATGCATACATAAACACAGCACAAATACTATGCTTACATTCTACACACAAATAAGCCTTAATTTTCTCCTTCAGCCAGCAGCATAACTTGAGTTAATGGAGCACCACTTCTCTCCTTACTGCTGTTAAGTAGCATAGTAAATGCTGTGCGAGGCACTCTAAGCACCATCACATGTAACATGCCTGAAAATCTACTAAAGTTACAAAATATGGTTTGCAACTAAGTGATGCTGTCAATATATCCATTACAGATGACAAAAACACCAGAGACTTTGGCTTTTGGCTTGGGTTATATACAGAGAAGGCTGTTGTTTGGGCTTTGTACTTTTGCACATTGAATCTGACATGAAACAGAAACTGTGATGTTAAAGAGCTGACTTTTAGCTTTATGGGTGTTGACATTCACACCAGATGAATGTGAACACCCTGATATTGAAGCTAAAAGTCAGCAATTTGACCTCATAATCATCGTTTTATTTTAAATGCAATCTGCTAGAGTGCAGAGCAAAAATAACAAAACATATGTCAATGTTCAAATACTTACAGATTGCACTGTTAAAAGCCCACAAGCTATATACTACTGCAATGTTGCCCTATTTCTAGTTGTTCAACAACAATCTGTGCAATATTACACAGGCAATACTTGTTCCATTGCCCATATGCATTATTTATTGACCTACATTGTGAACACTTGCTTGCAGGAACACACTACTGATATATGCATTGTGTTGAGCATGGACTATTACAAATTGATTTTTCCTGAGGAGCTTACCTTCAGATAGGATCCATAATACTTGGTGATAAAGGGACTGTCACACTGGCTGAGAACTGTGATTTCCTGTTGAATGTCTTCTATGTCATCTTCCGCTTCTTCCAGATCAATAATTTTAATGGCCACTACTTTCTGAGTCCGAATGTCGATGCCTTTAAAAACTTCACCAAAAGAGCCTTTTCCTATCCTGTCCAGCTTGGTAAAAAGCTCCTCTGGATTCGCTCTGAAATTCTGTTTAACAGAAGAATGGAAAAAGAGAGAGAGAGAGAACAGAGTTAATTTTTAGTAACATAGAAACAGGAAACTGACGGGCTAAATTCTGATTCACCTTTATTAATTATTCAAATTCACAAATTACAGATTTTTGAACTGCTGTTACACAGTTCCATACATGAACATAGGAGCAACACAGCCATCTCTGACAGGCTTTATAATATCAAACAGTGATACATCTAGGATTGTCATACACTCCAAGTAGTAATTTAAGAGCCAATAATCAATGAACTTTCAGCCTGTGAATTTGATTCACGATCATTCAAAACAATTGGGATTTTAAAAATCTTTAACCTGAGCCTCACCATTAGGCCTGCAAATAACGACTATTGTCATTATCACAGGGTTTCCCGCAGCACTTTGCAGCTAAGGCTCCTGCCTTAGCAACACACGCCTGCCGCCTTAACTACGTCGTCAAAAAAAACAAAATAGGCCGAGTGATATGAGCAATATGAGCGATATCCGCCGTGTTACTCTATCCTGTTTTCTCCCTTTCATTCCAAACTGTGACCAATACCAGTCTCCCTTCTCCGCAGAACGCATTAAAAAATAATGAAAAAAGTGCCATGAATCAGAAAATAATCAGTTTATGTGGCATCGATGTAAGATAATTATTCTAAATTATCTAAATTCTATAAATACTTGAATAACCTGTAAACTGTTCACTCGAAGTATCTGAAATTCTTATGATAGGCGTGATGTTTTCCAATCAAGGCTAGTTGCGTTTACACGTGGTTGTCTTATAGCTATACGTTTGATGATTGCACGTGATTTTCTCTCGCATTGTACACAGCCAAATGGACAGAAAAACGCAACCAAAAATTGCGGGCTTCTTCGTACGACGAAGCAGGCTTACCTCACCATCCTCCCCCCAAAGGTCAAATGTGACCCAAAAAAAAAAAGCATTATAATGAAGTACTGTAGTGCTGCAGCGATGCCCTGGTCTACAAAGCTTGTTTTTTTTTTTTTTTTGTGAACATCAATTTGTAAAATAATACTTGTACGCTAATCGCAATGTCTGTCAAAATAATCTCAATATATGTTTTTTACCATATTGTGAAGCAGTGCACAAACCTTTATAAATAAAAGTTTTTACAGGGTTAAGACCTCTTTTCATTCTGCATGAACAAAATGCAAATGTCTTTGTGGATATTATCATCTGCACTGCTACTGCAGGCTGCTAATTTAGTTTCAACCACTTCACGGTTCACTGTCTCACAATACAGTACAATAATGAAAGCTTCTAGTGTTAACAGAGCACCTGTCACCCAGATGACAGCTGGAATAACTGGTGTTCAATATAGGATAAATGAAACCAGAAAAACTTTTATTTACTATCAAAAGCCAATACTAATCGATTATAATATGCCTTGATGGACTGTGATACCGATCTTGAGGATAGGCTTGAGACTTCACTACCTTGCTATATACAGCTCAGCTGCTTAGGCTAGATGTTATCAGTCCTCTGCTGTTTCTCTAGAAAAATCAGCATGGCATACTAAGAAAAAAATACATAACCCAAAACCAACAATTTTATCAAATTCTGTATAACTTAACAAGCAATAGGTATAATTCACAACAGCCAGAGATCCCATACAGCAGCATAGGACTTATGCAAATGCAAGACTTTAATTTTATCCCTACATTCATTTCTTGACAAACAAACAGCCCCGTACAAAATGTGTACTTCATGCTGGCATCGACCTCTGCATGCAGACCAACTGTTTAATATTTTCAGATCAAATATTGTGGTTTTGAGTAACACTTAAATCCTGAGACAGAGTGACAAAGACATACCTGAGGTTTAATGACCTCCACCACAAAAGGCTAAAAAGAAACTGAAGGGCTACACCCTGACTTATTGACTGAACTAAATGGCTAATTTCCCTATGGAGCACCGGGGAGGGAATAATGGTCTTTAAGATGGTCAGTTCAATTTCCCTTCATGCACAGCAATCATTAGCCTAAACCACCTGAGTAGTGTTCATAATTTCCATGACAAAAATAGTGTAAAAATACTTTTTTTACTGCCTTTTATTAAAGCATTACACTGTATATTATAAAGCTAAACTGAACATTTAAATTCAACTAGTTATATTTTTGCAATAGCTATTATAATAAAGAACCAAAGCAATTAAGCCCAATGCTTAATTTACCAGGTAACCCTGCCCTAAGACGATGATCTTCGGCTCACACAGCATATTGCTTTATTGCCCCCCAGAGAATAGTTTCCTGTAAAAGTGCTAATGCATGGTGGTCAAACTATATGGACGGGGAGATGGAGCAGCTGCACTTTGAAAAATTGGCAAAGAGGGGGCTGCTGAATTTGATCGCAAAGGGAGTTTACAACAAAGACAAAGAGCGGTGAAGAATAAAGCAGAGTAGAAACAACACAACCAAAATACTATCATAACACTGGTGTGGTCAGTCATCCAGGTGAAAATTATAATGTCGAGGCTGACCAGTGTAAAAACAATGGGAAAAACAACAAGGGCGCTGCGACCACAGACTACACATGATGGGAATGTACTTGCCATATCCACAGTCAGCAAGTTTACTGCGACAACTAAAGCTGCCTGAACCTCGCTCTAAAAAGCATGTGTTTGATGCTTCCCCATCTGCACCACACAACTGTGTAGTCTAGTGTCATCCACGCACCACACCCTCAGGGTTGAAGGCTCACTGCCAGACTCCCCATACTCCTCTGCAGAGTAGCCTGTGGGCTCAGGTTCATTTTATTTGTCTGTGCATATGCTAATGAAGAGAGTACTAATGTGTGCAATCAATGGAATGATGCATGCATGTCTTGGTTATGTCTTTCTTACATCGACTGTAGTCTGGCCTACTTTATACCAATATTTCAGACAGGCCTAGTGGCTGGCTCAACTGAAAAAATACTTTAACTTTAGAAACAATTATGCAAGCTACTATGTCATTGGTGGGCCATACAAATACAATTACCCTACAATGATAAAATGCTTGAACTACTATCTGAAAGCTGTGGTGTCAAAACTAGAGCTGAAACCATCAATAATCAATAAGTCAATCGACAGAATATTAATCAGCAACTGTTTTCTAGTAAACTAAATATGTTAAGATTGTAAAGCACTGATGGGTGAACGTGCAATCTGATGTAATTAGTGCTGAAACAATTAGCATCAAGGCTCATCCACCGATAATAAATGACAACAATTTCATAATCAATGAAACATTTAATTAATTTATCGTGCAAAAAAATTCTCTGGCTTCTCATATCTGAAGACTGGCTGCTTTTTTTGGTTTTATTTTGCCTATTATTTATTTATTTTTACCACAGTCGACTGAATACCGTTGGGCTCTTTAGTGTTGGTTGGATTAAATGAACAATTTAAAGACTTCACCTTAAATTCTGATGGGAATCTTTGATTTTATAAACCCATGGATTTGCCAAATTAATCAAAAATGGAGCTTATCTTTAGCAGCAATTTTAATTGACACTGGCTTTCTTATTATTTTGACTGATCAACAAAACAATCACCAGATTGACTAGTAATGAAAATAGGCGTTAGCTGCAGCCTTAGTCGAAACGAATAGGTGTGATAAGTGGACTACTGTGTCAAAGTACAAATTACAAAAAGGGCTCAGGACAAGTCAACCACTGAAAGGGGGAAATATATAATACTGCATGTAGAATATCAGGTCAGGTCTTAGAAATTATTAGAGCTGAAACAATAAGTCAATTGATCGAGTAGTTGATCAGAGAAAAATTGGCAAACTATTTTGATGACTGTTGTTGCATTTAATGTTTCCAGCTTCTTAGAGGCAATTTTCTGCTTATCCTTGTCTTACATACCATAAAATAAACTAAATATCTCCTGTTTTTGCCCTGTTGATCAACACATAACAATGGGCACTGACAAAATACCAACTTGGATACGTCAACTTCATACTCTAGGAAATTGTGATGGGCATTTTCAGTCTCCGGTTAATGCGGTTTACACAGTAGCAGCCAGCTCAGGCAGAATAAAGAGCCTATCTGTAACTTGACAGCTCGTCAATCATCCAGTAACTACACGTTAGATTTGACAACAAAAAGACACAACCAGAGCATAGTCTTACTCCCAATAACTACTAGACTTTGGTGCATTTATCAGTGGAAAGCACAGACGAAGGTGCTTAACGTGATAATGGCACACTGTTCCTGCAGATAAAGTTATCTACAGCCATGATACTTTAACTTCCGAGCTGAAGGTAAAGAGGAAACGCGAAGTAAAATGTCGGGTGGCTCCGAACGACACGAACATGCCCCCGATAGTTAGTAAGTCGGTAGGTCAGCTAATAACACAGCAAACACATTTTATTCACCTGAATCCCCGGCAGTCCGCTCTGAATCGGGGAGTGAGCCATGGCGTCAGCTCGGCAAAGATGACGCCTTTCCTCGTCTTCTTTCTGCTGTCTTTATCAAGACGGGTACCGTAACTATTCCCCGACCGACCCCTGGTTTGGATGCCCTCGTCCGTGCTGCAAACTCTGTGAGGGCAGTTCGCGTATCAAACGGTCGCTTGATTTAAAAAACAATGAATCCGTTTGACTTGTCGGCTTCGGGCTGCCTGCTCCTCACTCGCCTTCCGCAGTTAGCGAGCGTTAGCTCCGCTAGCTACTTTAGCAGCTAGTTAGCAAACAGTTAGCTGAATAATTATATCTCTGTAGACCAACGTGGTCTCTCAACGCGTGCTTAACAGTTTCCCGGTGATGATACAGAGGTCTGGTCTGAAATAGTCGCACTGGGTAGATACATGCACACTGTTATTTAGTTGTGTCTCTTGTTGTTCTATTCTCTCATCACTTTTCTCTGTCGCCGGGCGCCATCTTGGTTAATGTCATTTTCATTTCCCGGGCGACCAATCAGAATTTAGAAGAGGAGACGGTGCGTATGTCGTCACTCGTAAATCGAAAACGCGTCACAGCAGAAGAGACAGGAAGTCCTCACAGGTGGCAGTTTCACACTGTTGTGGGTTGTGGTAATAAAATATGCACCACTAAAGCACGAAATCAATCCGAAGTTTATCTTAAAGCTGCAGTAGGTAATTTCTTTATAAAAACATATATATATTTTTTTAAATATTTGGTGAAACTGTGAAAAGAACAGGTTCCTCAGGTTTCTCCTGCTCCTCCTGGTGCTCCTAATGGCATTTGTAAAAATCTGATTGGTTGTTTTCAGGCCCGTTGGATTCTTGCAAATACTATTAGGAGCACTAGGAGGAGCCAGAAGAACCTGCATTTTTCACAGATTATCTCTCTCGTGTACTACTGTTTGGGCACAGTAAACGTTTCAGCAATAATCACAAAAAGTTACTTTTTAAGTAAAAACTCTGCTGAATGTAATTTTAAAGGGGAAAAAATATTTTCATTAAGCAAATTCAGGCACTAGCCTATAGACTATTTTCACTGTGATGTTCCTTTTTCTGCTCTAAAGATGAAATAATGCTGAAATTTCCTCCCAGTTAAAGATTTTTTTCACAAGAAGCCACGTTAATTGATTACAGTTACCTTTTTCTTGGATCCTGATTTTATACACACATATATATTGTCATTAACCTGCACATATATACGTACAGTGAAGATAGACAGGAAAGGGGAGAGAGAGAGGGAGAGAGAGAGAGAGAGAGAGAGAGAGAGAGAGAGAGAGAGAGAGGGTGACATACAGCAAAGGGCCACAGGTCGGATGTGGGGCGCCTGCAGCTCTACCAGGAGAGATATCAGGGCACCCCAGATTAAACACTTTTCAATTTCACCTTGACTCAGAGTACTGGTTGTTTTCTGGGTCTTTGGGCATATAATAAAACTGAAATGTTAAATGTGTACAGTGAGCAGTGTACTTAATGACAGTTTAAAGGTAACAGGGTACATACTCAAGGCCCCAAACCCCCTAGCAACGTTAAATCAGCATGACAGGTGAGCTATCTTGACTGATCTCCAGTAGTCAATTTACATTTTAGTATAAGTTAGTATCACAGATCAAGTTCTTGTCATCGCAGATACATTTTAGACTTATTCATAGAAAACATTCTAACATGCCACAGCAGGAAAATTCTGTGTATAGTCTGCTTCTGTTTAATAGAGCAGAGCAGTTGTTCATTTTATTAGTAACACCACACGTAAAAATGTCTGCTGTGAAAAAGACAAGGAGAAAGATTATGATTCATTGATGTTTTTAGTGCAGCATTACAAAGACCCTAATAATAAAAATCTGGTTTGGAATAGTCAACATAAACTACACTAAGTTTTTGGAAAATCATCATCAAAACTCTGTGGGAACATGCAGTTGAAAGATAAAAAAAAAAGTCTACATTAAGATTATTTTGTCAAACTAAGATTTCTAAGGTGAAGAATAAACTTTAACACTCAAACAATGAAAACCATTTGTATTTGGCCAGTTTGGGAGCTCACAACTCAACTGACAAGCTGACAGGCTGCAGTGTTTTCCTTTTTGTCACATAATAGGACATTCAGCACAAATATATTCATTGCAAAAAACAACACTGGTCAGTCTTGCATTACTTTACTTAAACTAAAGCTTCGATATCAGGTTGGGAGAGTTCCTCTGAACAAGTGTTACATGTTAAATGTTTTTTTTGGCAAAAAAATCTCAAGACCAGGACTGTGAATGAAAAACACACAAACAGGATTTATTTGTATTGCTTACTTGAACATAACTTAAACATAAAAAAGAGCAATTACATCAAATGATATGTAAATGTTAGGAAATATTAGCATCCATCTGCTGTTCTTATACAGTAATACAATAGCTTACATTATATGAATTTGTTGTATTGAATATAATGTTAGGAACTTAGTGTGCCTTATTCACTATAGTCATTTGGGTATTAGAATATAAAATATTTAAAACAGACACACACCAATAGACAATACGACAATTCTACCTTGCATCGATGTTAAACATCAGATATAAAAGCATTGTGGATATCTAATCTGCTTTTAAGCTGTTCACATTTTGGTCTGTTTGGCTGGATCATCTTCATCGTGAGATTTATTTGAGTCTTTCCTGACCATCTCAACCTCTGTCTTCTGTAGCTTGCTTTTGTCATCCTCGTCATCTGCATTAAGCTTCTTTTTGAACTGGGCCTCAATTTCTGCAGGGTCGATGTAGGTGTAGAAGTACGCCATAATGGAGAAGATGAAACACACCGCAATCAAGAGAGAGGCAAAGAGGATGTACTCTGCCCACTTTGGAAGAGGAGGAGAGACAAAGGTACAAACATGGTATTAATGCATCATCATCACGTCTCACTGTCACTGCAATGCCATGTGCTTGCTTTTTTCTTTACCTGTTCGGGGAGCTTTGCAAGCTCAGCCACAATTAGTACAATGAAGTTGCCGATAGCAACAGTAAACAACCAGCCTGCTTGCAGCACTGCTTTCATGTTATTAGGTGCCTTGAGGACACAAAAGAAAGACACAAAATTGAATAAAGCCCAAAACAAACATTGCATTATAGTGTGGAGATGTGTGTTATAACAGTTTTACCTGTGAGTAGGAGAACTCCAGACCAGTAACAGAAAACATCACTTCACCAGCAGTTATGAAGAAGTACTGTGGGATCTGGAGAGCCATGTGAGCCGAGTTGGGCTTGATGTCTTCTGCTACAGTAATAGACTCCTGACACTGAAATAAATAGAGATAATTACAGTTCAGTTTAGGACATTGTGACTCAAAAGAAGGTAAAGAAATTTTTGACAGATGACAATATTTAAACACATTATCTATTTGTACATAGAAGTAAAAGGGTGGTTCAATCTCTATTTACAGTCAAAAAAACTGCATGAAAAACCAACAATGCATTAATCCCAAACATGTCTGTAGCACTCAGCCCCAAGCCCATTCTTAAGATGTACATTTAACAAAAACATAGTTTCAGTTTTTATATATATAAATGTTTAAACCTTCCTAACACAGCTGTGGTTTTAATAAACATCACTCAAACAGAGGTAAAAAGTGCATTTTTGGGGGACTATTTTCAGCTGCGGTGAGTGCAGTTAGTAAATATTTATGGACCCAGGGTGGGTCCATGTTCATTGTAGTGAAGGATGATGTGCAACGATGTAGCTCACTGGTGTATTTTTAGGACATTACGGTTCACACAGAGGAATAAGATATATCAGGCTTTGGCTACACAGACAATATTTGTTTGTAGAATCAATTCATTAATCATCTATTCTTTGATAATAATGTTTTTAGATCTATTTAAATTCTTTTCAATATAGTCGCAAATAACATTAATTAAACGCACAAATAAACCTAATGTATAATCTGTTTCCACAGACAGAATGAACCCAAAACAACACATCTTGCAATTAAATTTAACATAGACATTAACTCACACACCCATGACATTAAAAATAATAAGTGAAACTTACATTTGGTCCAAAGTCCAAAGTGCTGGGGATAAAAAAGGTATATGAACTTCCAAATCCAAAGTCCCGACTGTATTCACATGACTGTGAACTACCACTTATGGTGAAGGTGACCCTGGTCATTAGAAAAGAAAATCAGTTTAACAACCTGTATTATTGTTTGTATGAAATAATGATTCTAGTGTACACTGAATTAGTCAAGATGAAAAAAATCCTTACTTTCCATTTTTTATCAAAGAGTAGTTGGAATAATAAAATGGTTCGATTAGTCCAAAGTCAGCTGCCACAGTTGATACGTTCACTGTTGTACTCATTCCATTTATAAATCTGAAACAGGTACGTATTGAGAAAAAAAGAACATTTAAAAACAGCCAGTAATACAAACATATGTAGTAGTAGTAATCTTATTTTCAACAATTTACTCTGCAGATAAAGACTGGGGCTGCAACTACATGATTTTTATCCAATACAAGACTAACACAATTAACTGATTATCAAAATAGTTTCATAGTTTAACTGTTCAGCTGATTAATTAATTGTATATTTGTTACCAGTTTAAACATTTGTAATTCAATTTACCGGATTGCATTGTTGCCTTGTTCTGGCTTGGCAGTCACATCATCAGTCTGAGAAAATAAGATGCTGATTAATTTAACCATTAAAAGGCGACTTGTGTGTCTTTGTTTTCATTATTCTGTGCGTCTAACTCACCAGCTGCCACTCATCAGTGAGGTTTGAAGGAATGAGAAGTGTTTGTCGATGTTCCTTTTCCAAGGAAATAATTTTCGTCACTGCAGGGCTGGCTATTGAAACACTGATATTTCCTGCTTCAAATGTGAAGAATTCCTCACTGGCCTGCAAAACAAAGGATCTGTTAAAGCTGTGTAATCACTGGGGTAAGAACATTTGTACACAATCACTGGTGTTTTGGATTGCAGCTGATTTCTACAGAGTTTTCAACTTGATAGTTGTGTGTTATTGTGTGAGGACATACCTGAGCTGGAGAAAGTACCAGAGGATCGTTGCCAGGCAGATTAACTGTTACTGGATTACTGCCCATGTTAAGTAATTTCAACTGACTCTGGGAGGCCGTTGGGAAGGTGGGCAATGTTTTCTGAAAAGTACAAAGTACAAAGTTGAAATGAGCACTTGTCCTTGTTATGAGCTCCACTTGTATTAGAATACATTGATAGAATTGTATTTAACATAAATGAATCCATGAACCTTTGTGCATTTTAAAGTATATAAACACAATAATTGTTTTCTACTTACATCAATTTCAATCTGAACCACAGCGGCGCAGATAAAAGCTATAGCTGCCAAAAGCATCCCCACTGTCATTCTTTTCAGAGGTCTGTTGAATTAAATTTTAAGTTCTGTTACTGATTTGTACAATATTTGAGCGAATTACAACAGCAAATGTCTCAATTTGTATACAGAAATATGTTTGTATTG